GCAAGGAGGTGGGAGCAGTACCTGTCCCTACACCTGCACCAGCTCCCCTAACACCAGAAACAGCCACCAGCAGCAATATGACTGTCTCCTCCTCCCCAATTTTACCTCCAAGTATGAGCCTCCCAGTGCCAGAGGAGGAGCTGGATCTGGAAGCAGTGGACCTGAGCACCCTAGCAAAAGAAATTCTGTGGACCAAGGGAGAATCTGAGTTTATGCTCCACATCTCTCAAAGTTCCCCTAGAGCCAAGTCTCCCTGTCTACAAAGCCCCTTGGGGGAGGTTGAGGCTGTGGAGGCAAGGGGCTCAGCTGAGTCAGCTCCTCCTGTTGTTGTGCCTCAGCCTGCTGATAAGGGGGATAAGGCAGGATACCCACCCTCAATCTAGAATCAGGGGGGCAGCAGTATAGTGTGGGATCATTTTGAAGTGGCAAATGATCCCAAGTATGCTATCTGCCAGCATTGCCAAGGCAGATCAGCCGGGGCAAGAAGGTGAAGCACTTTACCACCACAGTGATGCTGCTGCATCTCAGGAGGCAGCACCCCCTTGCCCTTGTTTCTCCTTAGCCTGAACCAGTGGGAGTATGCCCAAAGGGAAGTCCCTCTCTCACTTTATAGCACCCATCCCCATGAAGTAGAGGCAGTGGTGGGGGAAAGCTGCAGACAAAGGGAGGCGTGTTGCAAGGGTGAGCAAGGTCACACAGAGCACTGGGGAGATGCTTGCTCCGGATGTCCTGCCCTTCTCCTTAGATGAGTGGCCAGGGTTCAGGTGGCTTATGGCGCTAATGGCCCCATCTTACCAAGTGTCCACACACACCACCTTTAGCAGGATGGTGGTGCCATTCCTGTATGAGGCATGCAGAGTATAGTTGAGGGAGGAATTGTGCAAGACAGGGCTGCAGGTAGCCTTGCACTTCACCTCAGACATCTGGAGCTGCTGTGGTGGAAATCATGCCTACCTCTCCCTCACATAGCAGTGGTGTGATCAGTCAGGCTGTCGGTGGGCTCTCCTTCAAGCTGAGGTGATGGATGAGTCCCACATGGTAAGGGAGATCATGGTGAACAGGAACCGCATGGTGCAGGGTTGGCTCGTTGGGCAGGGCAAGCTCACCTGTTGGTTCATGGTCACTGACAATGGGTCCAATATGGTCAAGGTGGTCCATGATGCCAACTTTGTTGGCATCCTCTGTGTGGCACACAAGCTGCACCCCATAGTCAGGAATGTCTTGGAGGGTAACAGGGCTGCTGGTGATGGCATTATCATTATCACCCAGATGATTTCAAAATTCAGGAAGGAGATGCTTTATTTCCACCACAACATCAAGGGGGACAAGAGAAACAGGTGGGGTTGTGGGAGAAACAGCCAGAGCTGGGTATCCTGTAGCACAAAATCATGCAGGATGTGGAGACTTGGTGGAACTCCATATACCTGATGCTGGAAAGACCAGTGGAGCAACAAAAGGCCATCCATGAGACGGCCTTGTGTAACACAAATTGCCAATTGCTCAAATTATGAGCGACACCTTATAAAGGGGGAAAAGGCAAAATGCAGTGTTTACTGATTACACGAATTAGACATAGAGGTTCGGACACACCACTCATATAGACACACACAAATTATCATGCATAAAACTTACACACAGGCACACACAAATACAAAACAACCATTCCATTCAGACGTTATAGTTACTAGCAACAGTTGTTCAATAATAGCACTGGGTGGCCAGTGCAGGATGCAGATAGTAGGTAGGGTGGTTATTATAAGAGAAAGATCCTGTAGATAACAGCTTGGAGTGGGGTGAAACAGACATGTTTGTGCTCCGATGAAACAGCAGTTGAGAGAGAGACTCACCCACTTTGGCATTTTTGAAGTCGTCTTTTATAGGGATTGACATCCTTTGTTTTAGTGCTTTGGGGTTTTTCTATACCCAGCTTCTGTTTTTGTGGTTGTTCTTCTTTTGTCTTCAGCTTATCTCAGCCTTGGAGTGTTCTTGCTGCCCATCTGGCAGGATGGGTGCATTCCTTCTCCTCGTTATCTTCTTTGTGCCCTAGGCCTGAAAGGAATTCTTCAGCCATTCATTAATTATTTTATTGACTGGTCACTTACATTTGGCATCTTGTTGCTTGCATAAACAGTTAAATCTTCTTCTTCTGTCTCTATGCCATTCTCTCACCATTCTCCCTTTTACACACACGTATACATAAAGGCTATGCAGAGTTCATTCATTTATGTCAAGCAGAAGGATACAAAATGAAGCTTTCAGGTTGCTTACAGGACAAAACTAACATGGTTACATTTCACTATTATTACACTCTATGTTAACATCAGCTACATTAGTTCAGTTCCTGCTATACTTGCTTGGGGAGATTGGGATTAGCAGCCCCCCTTAACAAAGTGGGGTGGGATACCATCTCCCAGATCTTGGTGGTCCTCAAGCCATTCCCCGAGGCCACCAAAACCCTCAGCACTGGTGATGCCTTTCTTAGCCAGGTGATCCCTATAATGAGGGAACTTCAGAACCAAATGGAGAAGTTCCAGGGGTCAGTGTTCCTGGGGTAAGCTACTGTCACCAGATGTGCAGACACTGGTGAGGCAGCTGAAGAAGGGCATCAAAAAATGGCTGAATCTGTTGCAGTCCAGTACAGTCCACATGCTGGCAGGCATATGTGACCCAAAAGTGAAGGGGAGCATGTGCACTGGCAGCACCAAAACCATCGATCACTGGACGGAGGTGTTGGTGAACAGTCAGGGAGGCAGAAGGGCAGAGGTGAGTGGAAGTGGAAAAGGGGGCCGTGTCAGCACTTCCAGCACTAGCCAAAGCCAGTCTCCACACCACCTACTGCCAATATGGGCCAAGGGCTTGGCTTCAATGTTGGGGTCCAGATGCACCAGACCCCAGCCTTGGGCAGGTAGCGCTGAGGCTTCAGTGGCTACCTATCTCACTGAGGACCTGGAGTTGCTGGACTGTGACCCCTTGGCCTATTAAGTAACCTACAGCCAGATGTGGCAGGATCTGGCCACGGTTGTCCAGGAACACCTGTCCTGTCCACTGAACAGTGTTTCGAGTGAGAGGGTGTTCAGCATTGCTGCGGATGTAGAGACACCCCACCACACCCACTTGGATCCTGGTTTGGTGGAAGAGCTGGGGTTTCTCAAGGTGAACCTTCCACTCCTGGGGTTCCCCAAGCTCCACCTGCAGACAGAGTGAGTGCCACCCTTCTCACTCCATCTGCACCTATTTCCTTTTTTTAAAACCATGTAATGCCCTGCCCACAGTGCTGGAGGCAACTCTCACTGCATCACCAACCAGCAAAGGAAGAAAATGTCTCTGCTGAGCTCCCATGCCATGATGAACTTGGAGATATGGGCTCAGGCTATGGGGAAAGAGGAGACCCCAGGTCCTGGGCATGACCACTAAAACTGCACCGTGCCATGGTTGAGAGGCCTGGTGGGACTGCCAGCAGTGGAGCAGCCCCAGAAAATGCCAGGACTGAGGATCTCCCTGGTGAAAGGTGGGTAGGAGGCACCTTATAACCTCCAGTTACCACACACACACATGGTCCTGGGTGGGGAAAGCCCAGACCCCTAAGATCTTTGAGAGGCCTGAATCTTGCTGCTTGCACAGGAGTTGTGAGGCTCCAGGTGAACTCAGCTTAGTTGCCTGGGGTGCCATCTGCGAGGCATGGGCTTTCAGGTTTAAAACCCTTCTTCAGGCTGAGGAAGCATGTTTTTGGTGTGTGTGTGTTCTTCCTGGTTGGAAAGAACAGTAAAGAATTCAGAGGCTGGCATGCAACGCAGGCAAAAAAGCCAGTCAATGAAAAAGGAAATGGAGGCATCGAGGGGTGAGACAGGCTGGGGTAGTGGGGAAGGGGGATGTAGCAGGTAAAAGTGAAGAGGTACCTGGGGAGTCAATTGTCAAGCAGATTGCAGCGTGTCATAAATCCAATGTCTATATTGAGTCCATGAGTTTCTGTATCTAGGAGGTTAATGACACGAAGTTAATAGGCCCATCTGTGAAAAGTGGTTTGTAAATTCCCTTTGAGCATCAGAACTGAGAGACTGGTGACAGAGTGTTTTTTCTGTGAGAAATGTGCGCCCACAGGTAGTTGGGTATTTTTGTTTTTGATAGATTCTGGTGCATAGTTTGTGGGGGTACTGGAAATATGTTGGCAAGTTAGCAAGGTTCAACGCTTGTTTGACTTCACAAACAACTTTTCACAGATGGGCCTATGAAATTGACTTCATCAACCTCCTAGATACAGAAACTCATGGACTCAATATAGACATTGGATTTATGACACACTACAACTTGCCTGACACCTGACTTTCCAAGTAGCAACAGGTACCTCTCCACGTCTACCTGCTACATCCCACACCCCAGCCTGTCTCTGTCATCTCCTGATGCCTCCATTTTCATTGACTGACTTTCTTGCCTGCATTGCATGCCAGCCTATGGCTTCTTTACTATTCCTTCCATCCAGGGAGAGCACATACGCCAACTAGACGCTTCCTCAGCCTGGCGAAGGATTTTTAAACCTGAAAGCTTGCAAAGAAGAATTTCTCCAACTATTCTGTTGGTCTAATAAAAGATATCAGACTGACCCTAAGAACCTTGTCTGGGTTATGTCCTTAGACCAACACGGCTACAATTTACACCCTTTGACACACATAAGTGACACAAGTTTTGCTTTCAGCAGTTTGAGGTGCAGCTTCACAGAAACCCTTGCACCACTGCCTGAAATCTGGCAGGCCTCCCTCATGCCCACATGAGGGGCTATGTATGTGGCAGGACAGGTGCTAATGAGGGCAGCCATTTAATGGCTCACTCTCAGAGCTGGAGGTGGCAGTTTTGTTTCTCATCAGCCAGCAGGGGAAGAACATGTCCCCGCTGAGCTCCTGTGCCAGGAAGAACTTGCCAAACCCCAGGACATGCCAAACCCACAAACCTCCCTGGTGAAAGGTGGGTAGAAGCAGAAGGCACCTGATAACCTCCAGCCACTGCACAGTCCTGGATAGGGAAAACCTAGACCTGTAAGATCTTTGGGATACCTGATGCTTACAGGTTGCAGTGGAGTTGTAAGGGTGAGAACAGGGGCTACCATCTCTTCAGTTTTCACCCCGCTGTGCCTTAACACACACACAAAGTTACACGTCGCGAGTCCTGCTTGTCAGCAGCTTGAGGTGCAGTTTCCCAGAAACCCCTAAACCTATCTCCATGAAAACTGGCAGGATTCATGCCCTCAGAAGGAGCTGCCATCTCTGCTGTTTTCATTGAAATCCTCCAAAAAATGACAAAGTTATTGTTTGAGTTCATACCGATGACTTTAAGGCTTAATTAAGCACAGACTCAGACCTGAATTCAGTTCTGGATTTTATTAAGCACAAAAAGGTAAAAACTTAAAGTCTTTTGCTAAGCCCTTGCTTTCTTAATACCAACAAGTGGCATCAAGGTGCGGCTACTCAGCTCAGACTCGAAATCGCTCCAATATCTTTTGAGGTAAAGATACCAAACCAGCACAAGTGCAAAGTTCCATTGAAGTCACGCATCTCATATACTCCTAACTAATACATAGTTATTTTCTAGTCTACAAATCGCGTTACAGGATTTTAAATATTTCACAATTTTTACGCTTCCTATTAAAATGAGATACACTTTCTATTAAAATGAGTTCTTGCTTTTAATGCAAATTCTACTTCATTATAATCTACTTATACCATCATTATAATATTGCCAAGCGGATATGTGTGGTTTCATGCTGCAATTTTGCAATATCCTCTTAACGCGTACTTGCTTCTGAGTATTCTACTTGCGGTATATCTGCGGTTTCTTGTTTACACAATACAAAGCTACTTTTGCAAATTTTATCACACTGCTTGCACCAATTATCCAAGGGTCAGATAGTGATATAACAGAATGTCAATCGCTGACTCCTCAGCCTCCTTGAAGCATTCTGGGAGTTTGGTCATTGTTAGGTCTAGCCTTATACCATCTCACAGTTATAGGTATTTCAGTGATTCCCCATTATAGTCTACAGCCAAATCTCTGAATCTCTCTGAATCAGTGCCGAATCTTTCAAAGCCGATTCAGCCAAAAGTGCTTTGGGACAGTGATCCGAATCTCCAGATCAAATCACTGTCCTCCAAATCAGCTGAATCCAAATCCGAATTGAATACTTCCCTATTTGCACAGGCCTAGTTAGCATAGACATAGGGCACGTCTATACATGGACCTAAAGAGCCATTGTCATTTACTTCCTTAAGGTAGTACTAAATGACAGCACAATAAGAGTGTGTACTGTGCCATGCTGTCTGTGCATGGTCATTTTTAGCTGCTCTGTCACCAAACCAGTGTGCTATACTAAGGGAGCGTATTGCTATGGAGATGTAGCTGTGGCATCATGGTTTTTGCATGAGGACTCTATGTCGCCATAATGTATTGCCATGGCAGCGTAACATCACATGTAGATGCACCCATAATGTGCACTTTTTAATCTATGAACAATGCTTAGATACTAGAGTTATAAATCCTATAAAAACCATATTCTTCTTATGTTCCCTTCCAACTAAAATACCATTACTTATAGAGAACAGGGATCAGGGTTTTCTGTTTCCCTTGCGAAATGGAGAAAAATGCAGAATTTCCCCTTTACCAGAGGAAACCATGGATTTCTCATTTTAATGGAGAAAAATCTGGATTTTTTAGTTTTGCAAAGAGCTCTCTGCAGGCTTGCAAAGTTCCAGCCTGCAAGGGGCTGTGACGGAACAGGAGGAGAGCGGTCAGGCAGGGGGTGCCTTGTGTATGTATATGCACTTAACCATCAGGCAGCTTGGAGAGCAGATACCATAGGTGGGAGGGGAGGATAGAGGCTCCCATAGAGATGGAGGGAGGGAGGAAATTGGGCAGGGCTGGGGTTGGGGCTGTTGCCCAACTGGGTGGTGCACAGGGCTTGGGGCCCAGGGCTGCAATACGTAGGGTGGAGGCAGGCACAGGCTCCCCACCCTGCTGCCCTCCCCCAGGGCCTCTGCAGCCCACTGGGTGAGTCTCAGCAATGCAGGACACAGGGA